GAGCCGCTAGCCTGGAAAGAGAAGACCAGCCGGGAGCTTCCACCTTCTGGATGGATAGTTCGCTGCACGGCCACTCTTGACGGGAGCTTTAAAGATGCGTGGATCGGCTGCGGCTTGGGTAACCCGCTCCGCTTGCCAAGGCGCTGAGTTGTTTCGCATCCTCTGTCAGGTGTCTGGCGAGGCATGGCCCTTTGCTAGAGTTAAAACTCTGGAGTAGGTTCTCCCTTGGCAGGCTGATAAGAGCAAGAGAGCTGGCACATTAAAGGGTGGCGTCTGCGTTCACCTCAAGTGGAGATAACTTCCACGGTGGACCAGTCTGAGCCCACTTTTAGCTCCTTTCTTCCCCATTTATGCTTTAGCCTCTTAAAACATTCTTTACTGTGAAATAGTTCTTGCTTTTCTCTTGCCAGGTGCACAGTGCCTTGTTTTAAAAATCTGTCTTTGTAATGAGTCCAGTCAAAGCATGGGAGAAGGGGGTTTTGATGGGGGGAGGTGGGCAGCAGCGTCTAACAACGCATAGCTGCAGTGGTCAGTCCTTTCACCCTCGAGCAAAGAGGCTGCTTGTAAATTACATTGAGTCTGGATTCATCTGCAAATGTCCCAGATCTCGAAGAGAATAGGAGAGATTATTAAACAGTGGTGAAAGTAGTCATTGCAGTGTCTACAAAGAGAAAACCCAGCTTCAGGGACCTGATTCTAAACCTCTCCATCCCCCTTGCACCCGTCTGTCTCCAGCGATGCGGATGGAATTCCTCCTGGTTTACACCTGATCCGAATCCGGCCCGGGCCCGCTGAACACCAAGTGGCAGCATCTTCCAGGGATGGAAATCGGATTTGGGCGGAGGAACTGGGCGGTCTCCTCTTTCTGATTAATTGTCGTGGAGGACAATAATTAAATAATTATGCTTGTCATTTATGGGCTTGTGCTTAATAAGACTGATGACAATATTGATACCGTAATTAGGATGCTGTTGCTGCATCCTCCTCTCCTCTGACCGGCACAACAGACATGAAGGCAAGATCTTTGGCCGGGCAGGCAGCTGCCCCAGGGTAGGGGGGCAGGGAGTTGCGGGGCGGGGCTGACGGGGACAGGCAGCCGCTGGTGCTGCTGGAGCCGGTCAAACGACACAGCACTTCCCCCAGGAGCTTCCCTTTCATCTCCCCGCTGCTGGCGCCTTCGAACAGCCTCAGTGTGTCTGCGGCGTCTCTTCCCCCTCCCCTTCCCGCTCCAGCGGCTGAGTCCCAGCGAGCCGGCGCACCCTTCCCGGCTGGTGCAGACTAATAAGGGATGAGAGGGAAGCGCTGAACCTGCCCGTGGGACAGTGGCTGCAGGTGACGGTAACCCCTAGACAGCTCCGCTGGTGCAAACACCTGAGAACTTCCCGGAGTTGTTGCTGCGTCTCTCGCAGCCTCCCTTCCACGCCGGCTCCCCCCGCTCTCCATGCTTCGTTTGGGAAGGTGCCCCCTGACCTTGGCTTGTCCCTTTCTGGGATCGCTGAGCCCAGCCTTTCGGATGGGGCGGGGGGAGAGTGCGCCAAGCTAAAGACAGCGCCGGAGCTAAAGACTTTAGGTACGAGCAGAACATTTACCCGGGAACCCCCAAATTCTCCCTTCTAGGGCAAAAGTTCAGTGCGTTTGCTTGGGGATCAGGAGATGTGACGCGTGTCTCTCGGGCAAGGAAATTGCCCAGCGGAGCCAGGTTGCGGGGTCACATTGAGCCCAGCGAGAGCTGGGCAAATAGTCAAATAAACGGAGTTGGGGTTGTGCTCCGGAGTGAAGAAGACGCTGATTTGGATTCCGAATGGTGCTGGGGTTGTCTTGGTTGGTTATTCCCCAGGGCTGGTCAGTCACCTGACATTCATGGAAACGTTCGCAAATCCCAAGTTTCCCCAAAGCTAGTCCGGGCATTTATTCATCTAGACGTCTGTCCTAGGATGAAGTAGGTTTCACCCAGAAAGCTCGTGAGCCTATATCTGTTAGTCTGTAAGGTGCCACAGGACTATTGGTGTTTTTAAATTTGCAGACGAATACGGGTACCCCTCTGAGGCTCTCTATCCTAGGAAGTTTAATCATCCTCTTCTCCTATCTTAAAAGATGCAGACATCAGCTCGGGCTGCAGAAACAACCCTTCGTGAGTCAAATAAACAAGCACAACATAGAAATGTCTAAAGTAAACTAATAGTTTGCGGTTGGGGGGCAAGAAGGCTGCGCTAACCCAAAATGGTGCTGGATTGGTGCTAAACAAGAGTTAAGCTCGAATCGCAGCAACCGATGCTAGTATGGAACATTTATGTAACCGAACCTTTATGTAACCGAACCTTCAATGTGCTATACAAACCCCAATAAAGCCACCTTTGCTGCCCCAAAGGGGATGCAATCCAAATAATACAAATGAGACAAGCACACGACCACAATTGTGATATAGTGTATGGACGGACAACAGCAATGAAAGGAATTCGAATAGAATATTCTGTCCAGCTGAAGAAATACACCCAGTGTACACGATTCTTGAAACAGTGTCACCCTGACCTACCCCCCAGCAAGCATTCATTCTTTATGGATAATTGGAAGGTGCATTGACTTTGTGAATACGGTATAATTATCTGCAGCATTTAAGCCACTAGACAATGGTTTACACCGGCGCTTTCATTGTTCCCTATACACACACATTGTTTCATTATTTTCATTAATTCTCATTTGCTTGTCATGCTGCAGAGAACGGGGGGGGAGGAACTATGAAGTAAACGAACTGCAGCAGGATGGTTTGCACGACCATAACTAGGAAATCACAGTATGTAATTTAAATTGCTCTCCAACCCATTCGCTACACACAGTGTACCCTGTGGTTTAACTTAATGAGAAAATGACCATGGATCATATGTGCTGTTTACTGAAGTGGCAAAAAATAATAATTTCAACCTATTATTAATCCATCTAAAAGCTTCTTCGGTGTTCTGCATCTTTCAACAGTTGCTGAAGCTGTCATGTGGCTTAACTGGAAAATGGCGATTTGATTCTTACACAAAAGATCTATATTGAAGATGTTCATATGAGGGTTCCGTACAGAGGAAAGGCTATACATGTATTGCTACCCAATAGATTCGAATACAGCCTACAGTCGATTCTTAAAATGCTGGCTGGAATTTAGGGGAACGATTTAGCAGCTATAGTTTCAAGAGATAAAAAGGTGGCTAATGGGCTAGAATACCCGAAGTGGCATACTAGGAACAATTCCTACCATTTGGCTATTTTAGCTCGAGAGGCTTCGGTTTTTGACTATATGGCCCTTTAAATAACTTGGGTTAAGTTTCATTTAAAACGTTTTATTATGCTCCCCTTCTGACACGGGTAGCGCCCCGCTGAAACACACAGAGAATAGGGGATAGCCTAGGCCAGTCAAGACAGGGAGCACAAACTTCTGCTGTCCTTACCCAGGCCAAATGCCGCTTCCCTGGATAACAGCTATAGCATCCACCCCCGAGAGCCACTCAGAGGAGAGTGTTCTCTCAACAGAGAGGAAAACAAGGTACCCAATACACAGGCGCAGCAAACCCAGGTCAATACCAAGTGTCTTAAACTGTCTGGGCTATTAACGTGAAAGGGATAAAAGCTTTAAACCACTGGGAGACAATGGGGCGATGTAACTAACCAGGTCGTGTCAAAAATAAAACCCCGTTTTAAAACAACTCTGCACTATAGCTTTGCCTTGGCGGGTTCCCATGCTGTATCCCCCCCCCCCCCCCCCCCCCCCC